TGTGTGTGTGTGTGTGTGTGTGTGTGTGTGTGTGTGTGTGTGTGTGTGTGTGCGCGTGTGCATGTGCATGTTGCAGGCTGAGGCGGAATGGCAACGCCTCCAGGAGCTGTGTGCCGAGCAGGAGCAGGAGCATAGCACCTCCGTGCGCTGCCTGGAGGAGAGCATCCATGAGAAAGAGGTCCAGATCAAGGAACTGAAGGAGACCATCTTTGAGCTGGAGGACCAGGTGGAGCAGCACCGGACTGTAAGGCTGCACACCAATCAGACCATCCTGGACCTGGAGGGTAGGTGGCCTGACCGCCCGCGAAAGGGTGAAATGCTCAAAAAACACTCAAAAGTGATCATAAGTAGAATGGCCAAGATGGAACAGGTGAACTTCACCATAGCTTTATAAGGATGCTACCCCCACCACCACCATCAGGGGTCACTCATCTCTGGGTTTGTCACTGGCACCACAGCACACTCTCTCTCAGGCTCACACCCACAGGACATTCTGGAAAACCTGACTACCCAGAGGCTGAGACCAGCAGGGCTCTAAGCTCCATTTGGGGCCCTGTTTGCCTGAAAATGCCCCTGTCACACTGACATGAGGGGCTGGAGCTAGAAGCATGGATTAAAGATGGGGGGGGGGGGGGGGGCACATGTCTGAGGGATGCCAGATGGCTAATCCTCATTCGGGCACATAGCCCATCGTATTCTGAGATTAAAGAGTAAAGTCTAAAATGAAAGATTTAAAGATCAGAGTGATCCATTTCCAGGCATCACAGTTAACATTTCACACGTTTTACACTAAAGGATAATGATAATCGATTTGTTTGCGGTTAGACCAGCCACAGTGAAAACGTCCTAGTGCCATTCTGGCTTTTTACTTGGAAACATTAGGAGGAAGGTCGCTGTTTTACCCGAAACAGCGTGCAGATGGGTTTGTCAGGAGTGACCTTCTCCTTCACGGCCCACTAGGCAGTTACCGGGAGAGATGATGACATGGAATCACGTACACAGGCCGGCATGTACTTGCAGGTCAGATCAAGAAGCTGGAGGAGCAGAAACTCAACTTGGAGAAGCAGCTGAAAGCTCTGAGCAGACAGATGAAGGTAGGCTGCTGTCTTGGAGTTCTTCCTTCATTCATTCATTCAACACTCCAAAAAAAGACAAAATGAACCATTATGGGAAAGCAGAACATTCCAACTTCAGAGTTGCATTAAGCTCAGTTTTTCTCCATCCTACAATGTGCCTTGAAACTAGAGGCCCACCCCTTTAAATGAGAGTAATCTGGTTCTACAGCCAGCACATATTTAAGTATTGATTCATCTACTAGTATTTTTTTAATCTGTGTGAGACGATTACAGTCATTTATGCATTTTACTTAATGTACCTTGCAGTACCTCAACTAACATAGAATGTTTTCTGAATAGCACTTGTGACTTGCTTCATAGAATTATTCCTTAACAGTAAGTGTTCTTGGTTAGAAATGTCCCGTAAATGACGAATGGGTGAGCAATCATGTGACCGAGCGTACATGTGATTGGTTGGGAAGTCATGTGACTGGGCAATCGTGTGACTGAGTGATCATGTGACTGGGCATGCATGTCATCAGGACGAGACAGAGGAGTGGCGGCGGTTCCAGGCAGACCTACAGACGGCCGTGGTGGTGGCCAACGACATCAAGGTGGAGGCGCAGCAGGAGGTGCGCGGCCTCCGCAGGCGGCTGCAGGAGGAGCAGGAACGGAACATGAACCTGGAGGCTGAGCTGGAGCAGCTGCAGGGTGGCAGGTGTGTCAGCAGGAGACAGCAATGTACACGCCACTCCGCTACTGTTCCTAACCCAACACTTGTTAGTAGGGTTTGCCACAATCCTTAGAAGGGCTGTTCTGACATCTAATTAAAACAAAACTGGTTACGGACAGAGGACTGTAAGAGCAAAGTTAACAGTTCAGGGGTGTCTGCTGTTGATTCTAGACCAAGATAATTTGCCCAGGCTGGCTGCAGGGAAATGTATTATTATATAAATCACTTTGCCAAAAATAGGAATAATACATTAATAACAGTGGCCATTCTTACACTATTTTGCAAGATTTGAAAAGTGCATGTTAGTTCTCACTACTGTAAATGAAGTAACCCCTAGACTGAGTGGCCTAACACAGACTCTGACGTCTAAGATGTAATATGTAAATATCTGCAGGTTCCGGCGTAACCCATTATGTCAGGCAGAGAGAAAGAAATGTGGATTACAGCCCTTTAACTCCCAGGATCCGCAAACCCTACTAACTGACTCTGGTGTCCCGTGTGACTCTGTCCCTCTGTCCCCGATCTGCTTTCTCGTCTCTGACTGCTCACAGTCTAACAGAATGCGTGATATAGCCTCAGTGTCACTGGAGAGTGTCCCAGGTTCAGTTTCATCACCCTCCACACTGTCTACGTTCCCCAGAGCATTGAACCTAGACCCAGCTGCCGTCACAGAACCAGAATTCGGGGCATTTGTGGTAATCGGGTGTCAAGCTTGTTCAGTCTTCCTTAAGGGGGGGGCGCCCTGCTGGCCGCTTCAGCAATGGCCGTTCTATCGGCCCGCCTCGACCGGCTGTGACGTGGCTTCACTGGCTCTCCCTCCTGGTGACTGTGCTGTCCGCGGTGGTAGCCTGTCCTGTCCTGTCCCTGCTTGTCCGGATCGGGGCCGGCCCATGTGTGTGCAGCTGCTGGCATGTGTGTGCTGGGTGGCATCATTCCCTTCCAGCCCTTATGGGTGTGGCGTCTCACCCTGGGAAAGGGGACGGCTGCCTGCAGCGTAGTGGTTTAGCACTCAGCGATTGTCGATGTGAAGAGATCAGCGTCTACATGCCCCCACGACAGATTAGCCAGCGCACTGCCTCTCCAGCAGCCCCAGAAGCTCCTCTGATCTCCATTGCCGACCCCCCCTGGCCAGCGTCCCTTTACAGCCGGTAAGTCTGCTTCACCCCGCACCGCAATTTGCCATGTTGGAAGTGTGACCTTATCGTCTGTATCGAGTCTGAGCCCTGGCCTGAGTGTTGCAAGGCTTGCTTTGCTTCTCCTCTGCACTGTTCCTTACGCTCATCCTGATGGCTGTTTGTGGGCACTGCATTGCCGCTCTCCTGTGCAATCAGAAGATTGTGCCGTGCTTTGCTTTTTACACCCAACGTTGCTAAACATGAAACAGTGCCACCTCCTGGCCAAAGGACCGCTAGCTTTATTCACTGTCCTTTGAGGTTCATCGGAAAATTCCAGATGAATTTAACCAGGGAACAACTGTTGTTTCCTGATAGCAGTGCCAGTCGAAGCCCATGTGGGGCCCTAGGCAAGCTTCACCCCTCTTCCCCACTCCCGCTGGCAAACTTTAGAAGTTTGCTAAATCAATACCCACTCAGAAGATGGGGCCTTAGGCAGCTGCCTGTGTTGCTCAATGGGTTGACCAGCACTGTCTTGAGCACAGAGAATTTGAAAATGGGATTTTGACCTGGAAAGATGCATGATGGGAAATGATGACCAGCCGTTTCTCTGCATCGTTAGGAGGCCCTGTCAGCACATTTTCACGGCTCGTATTCAGACGCTGCTGTGTACACACTCATGTCTCTGTCTTTTTCAGATTCACCACTGCATCAAGTTAGACTGTGGGACTGTAGACCACTATCAGGACTGCCAGCACCCAGTGTTATTTACTGATCCTGCACCGTGGATTAGCTGTCAACAGAAGATGCTGCAAAAACCTTATTTTTTTATTGTGGGATTTTCCTAGGATGGGTGACATGTTGTGATTAAATGTCCAAATACCTGGTCTAGATGTGTCCAAAAAGTGTTTGTTCTTAATGTCTTAATCAATCATGTTTCACCTAGTGGTGGGATTTTATAACACAGCTGAAAATGTTGGTAAAATTATTATTCGTTTTTGTTAGACTCCAGAGCAATGCACTTCACAATAAGAAAATTAAACTTAAAATGATTTTAAAAACTTTTCTTTTAGTCGGAAAATTCCAGCTGTTGTAAATAATGTATTATTCTACTTTTCTGATCTGTAATTCTCTAATATGTCCTTTGATTATTCTTGTCCTGTTACTGTAATTAGTGTGAATCTGAGTATTGTGCTGTTATTTTCAGCAATGTGGTTGTACAGTGGTCTGACTGAGTCAGACTGACTCTGTTTTTGTATGTGCTGCTTTTTATGTGTAAATGAATAGCAGCAGACAGGCGTGAGATAATCATTTTTATTTGCTGTGCTGAACGCACTGAAATATTTGATGAGAAATGTTTTGTACCGATGTTTACATTTACTGCCGATAATGTTACTCCAGATTTCTGGAAGGATCTTAAAACCCAGTGAGGGCCTCGTGTACGTGGCCAGCTGGCCTTTATTTCAACAAGGTGCCCATATGCCACATGTGCAGTGTAATGGTGGAAGTGATAGGTCACTTTCCCGTTTTCTGACATTTGGAAGTTCATTACAAGTTGTGGTGCTTCATCCTGTATTATGAAATGTACAAACATCAGCATGGCACTAGATGTTACCCAGCAGGTAGTCAGGACCTTGGCAGTGCAGAATAAAACAGGGTAAAGTACATCACTTCCAGTTTACCACACCTACCTACTCAGGAAAACCTGAAGCCTGTCACATCTCTTCCAGTGAGCGTGCTGCCAGCCTCCTGACAGTAGGTGTCACCACTAAACAGGGGAACAGAGAGGCACCCAGCAATCTAGACCATGCAATGCAAAGCAAACCTCTGTGTGGTTAGTTTGGAGAATGTGATGTGTATATGAAACTTGGGTGTAGGACACAATTGATTTTGATGGAACAAGGCAGATTATTTACAAGGTTTCATCCCTGATCCAATGATTCAGAGTAATGTTTCTGATGTTACAGTGCTGCGCACCATTTGATATGGAGGATAGCTAGATGACAGGTATCTGTCAGGGCATTGGAGTGGCACGGATGCCCTGGCAGATTCAGGGGGCCAAAAATCCACTGGAGCGTCATTTCTGTCCCTGCTTTGGAAGAGAGCAATTCCACACCAAGTGTCCCTTCTGTGACAACCTCAGGCTGACAGGTCACACTCAAGTGTGATGCAGGTTGGCATGATTACCAGTTTTACCTCTCACACAATTGATTTAACATCAAGGTAGGAATTGACGCTGGTAATCGATAATCACAGAGATGAAGGGTCATTTAAGGCCTGAAAGCCAAGGCCCGTCCCCCTACAAGAACCAAAAACACAAATACGGCAGAGCCTTAAGCTGGCAGAGAGTCTGATACTGTCCGGCATGCATTGCCTGGTTCCGCTGTGTGATCCCATGCTGTAAAAACAGAACAGAATAATGCTGGGATAGGAGATGACCAGCATGTCAGTTTTTCACATGCATATGTGCATTGTTGTGCTTTGTAGAGCTGTCAAGAACTGTCAGCTGTCTGCACGTGGAGCATCAATCGTCACGCAATCAATGTACAGCTGTGCTCTCTCCTGGGTACTGTAATGAACTTGATGTCTCTTTCAGTCAGCATACGCCATCATTTACAACACTACCTGTCACGTATGCAAGGCATTTGAGTTGCACGACAGACAGCAGGTAGATATCAGACACAACCCACAAGCTGGAGAACGGTGCCCCCAAGAGACAGACCATACGGTGTTCGCGTTAACAGGAAGGCATGGGTGTGTTCGTCACCACTGGACCAAGCGTGGCGACCTTTCCGGCCTCGTCACACTGTCACCCATAGGTCCCACTGGGGGTCTGTCAGGCCATGCCGCATTACACGCCCCCACTTTGGCAGCTACAAGGCCTCAGGCGGTGGGGGGGGGAGGGTGTGTTGTTCCTGACAAAGGAGTAAAGTGACAGCCACTGGCAGATCAAGCTATTAATTCCCAGGGTGTGGGAGGCGGTGTGGGGGTGTGCAGCCTGTACCGGTGACCTTTTTTAGCTCATTAAGAGCGCTGCTCTAAGACACTGATGTGTGGCTCTCTTACTTATATGTTCTTTAGCCGCACCATGTGTCCGCGGCCCCTTTAATGGAACGACCACCTTTAATTCGGCCGCCTCCCTTACGGGCACGGCGATGGCATCTTTGGCCAGTTGTTTATCATCCGCAATCCGGACTTTTTCTTTGTGGTGTTGCAGCAATTTGGTCAAACTCAGTAGCTCGTCGCTGCTGGTGACCATAGCGATCAGTCCCATCTTGTAAATCTCAGGTGCGGGAGGTGGGTGGAATCGGGAAGCATTCATTTTGATGCCATTGAGCATTGGTTAATCACGCTTTTTCCTGGGATTAAATGACCCTGTGAATGAGACCCCAGTGAAATATGCTGGTGTACCAATACTTGTCCTAATCCACTTTCATGAAACAGCCTTCCAGTGAACCCACAGTGCTACACAACAGCGCTTTACTATAAATGTGCCATTTTATTTATAAGATGCTACTGTCATATTTAATTTCCATGATGCTCCCTAAAAATGCTGTTTATATAATTATGTAAATGTGCATGTGTTTCTTCTTCTTTTGTCAATAAATGGAAGCATTGAAATGTTTTATGGCATGTGAGTTTCTTTATTATTTGCACATATAAATTTAACTGGTGCAGACCAAGATGTAACATGACTGTAACTGTAAAATTGTGATAAATCCTGTTCAAGTTATTTCCAACTTAAAAATTAATTACTTTTATATTTAAAAAACAAACATTACACCTAATTTTTATTTGGAGATCATTATAAAAGATGCTGTTTAGACAGTTTCATTCAAGTAATAATGTGAAAAATGTCATTAACCAGTCATTTGAATTGATGCAGATGGAAATAAATAAATCTGCGTGGATATATTGGTATTGCAGTTTAGGTGTTTCTGATAAGTATCTATTAAGTGTGTGTGTGTGTGTGTGTATGTATGAGAGAGAGTGAGAGTGAGTGAGTGAGTGTTCCAGCTGTAGCCTGGTTTGCATCCTGCAAGATCACTGCACCCTTAAACTGGACAGATGGTCTCTATATCACTGAATGACTGACCATGTGCCATGTGTGAACAAGTGGGTGACTATCCTCCCTGTGATATAGAGCAGGTGACTGTGCTTCCTGTGTTACAGAGTGAATGACCGTGCTTCGTGTTATAGAACAGATGACTGTGTTTCCTGTGTTACAGAGCGAATGACCGTGCTCCCTGTGTTATAGAGCAGGTGACTGTGCTTCCTGTGTTTCAGAGCGAATGACTGTGCTCCCTTTATTACGGAGAGGGTGACTGTGCTTTGAGCATCACTGAGGGACTGACTGTACTTCCTGTTTCCCTGAGAAGACACCTTTCGATCCTGTGTTGCAGGTTGAAAGGTGATGAGGTGGATTCCTCAGACACGGACGGCAGCCCTCGTTGGTGTGGAATCTCAGTCAGTCAGACGGGATCACCCTCTTCTGAACCTGGAGCCACTGTCAAGTCCCTCATCAAATCCTTCGACTCGGGCGTGCAGAGTAAGGATCACAGTGCCGCTCAGACATGCTTCCTGGCTAACATTTAGGAGCTGCTGAAGTATTTGACAGGATCTATGAGGTCAACCAGTCACCCCAACTCCCTGATCCAATGCCGGGTTTGGCAGGCACACTATGACTAGGCAGGGGACTGAGGCAGGGGACTGAGGCAGGGGACTGAGGCAGGGGACTGAGGCAGGGGACATCGTATTGTTGAAGCACATCCATTGAAAATCTTTTGCTGGAGCTCCTTCAGCTAGGGCTGGAAATGATGGGTGCAACGTGGAAAAACAGCATTGTGATAACAGTGCTGGGTCCCGAATTCTGTGTGGGAACAGAACTGATTTATTTAATCTTTTACAGAGGGTCAGGAAGTGCGCACTCCTTGGGGACTCGTATATTGGCACCAACAAGTCTGCTTGGCTGCGTAATGCTGACCTCGTAACGTAGCCAAAGTATGTAAGAGATCTCCCTTCACCCACAGATGGGCCCAGCCACACGGTGGCGATACACTCCTCTACCAGAAGCCCCCTGAGCGGGATCCCCGTCCGCACAGCCCCTGCGGCCGCTGTCTCCCCAATCCAGGTGCCTTCCTGTCTCCCTGCCCACCACGGGAGCCATCTCACATGCATGGATTTGTCATGTTTCCTCACAAGGTCACTTGACTGGGTCTGTATGTCTGTGTTTCTGTAGAGGCACTCATCTATCAAACCTCTCTCGAAGGCCCTGGAGAAAAGAATCAATTTGGGAGATTTCGCTCACCCAGGTATGTCTTTCCCACTTCATACCGTAAATGCACAGCAGCTGTGCAAAATTACAAAGACATGCATGTATTTGCATTTTTATATATATAAAATATAGCATTTTTAATTTATGCTTTATAACTTCAATGTAAGATCTATCTATCAATCTATCTATCTATCTGTCAGTCCATCTGTCCATCCTTCCATCTATCTATCTATCTATCTATCTATCTATCTATCTATCTATCTATATCTATCTACTAATTTCCATTAAAATATATATTTTCTTAAAGAATGGAAAACGTTTTCTTTTCACTTCTACTTCACCAGTGATTTTTGGGCCCCTGTGATAAGGAATGGACGGATAAGGAATCTTTCAGAGCTGATGTGAAGTGCTGTTTTATTCCACGCTTCACGCTGGTTTTCGGCTTTATCCCGTGTGGTCCCAGCCATGCCCCTGGTTTTCTCCGTGGTATGAATTCCTTCAGAACACATGTGCTCCGACCAGTGACCCCCGTCACCCTGATCAGAGCCCTGTGGTTAGTCCTTGTGACCTTTGACCCCAGCAAGGTCAAGAAGACCTGGGCCAGTATGCATAAAACTTCTCAGAGTAAAATTTCACTCTTAAATGTGTCACAATTCTAAGAGTGACGTGATTTTGCTCCTACTCCCAGACTTAAGAATAAGTGTATAATGTATAAACATTCTTAAGTGTTAAGACTTGGTCTCAGCTCCTAAATTATTTAAGAGAGCTGGAGAGGACTCCTAAGCCGGCTAGGAGCTGAATGATGGCAGCTGCACTACGCGCACCCAGACGGAGACCGCGCACTTTCCGTCAAAGAAAGGACGTCCTGCAGATTTACGATGATAACGAGTTGTTAAAAACATACAGGCTTGATCGTGAAGGCATTATTTGCTGAACGCCTTGTCCGAGCCTCCTAAACTTTTTTTGTCCGTGCTTGTAACAGCTGGGCCAAACTTTCGTCGCACTACCTCCTTCCATTTAAGCACCAACTGTGCCAAAAGAACCGTTTTGTTTGTCGTCCAGTTTGGTTTTCTTTTAGGATCCAATGTCTTGCTATGAGTTTTGCATTTGACCCATAATTTATACTACATGTGCATCTATTAGTGGAAATTGATTGGTGGTGTGCTAGGCAGATTTTCGTACAACCAATTAAAGGTTTGATCACAAAAAGGTATGTTGTATAAAGCTCTACATTAACGGTTTAATGTCACTAATATATTCATCGTGCAGCTCCTCTATTGGTTGAACTCAATATTTGGGGCAGGATTTTATTTGTAGTCCTCATTTCACGACACTTAAATGCTGGCTCCGTCAGCACTTAGGAATTGGGCTTAGACTTTGCTCAAAGTTACTTTTAGCAGCTTTATACGATGCTCTTAGGTCCTACTTTTTGCTAAAAATTTTTTTACTCTTAAGTCCAAGTGTACGACCATTCTTAAGACCATTCTTAGGAAGGTTTATGCATACCTACCCTGGTCTTTTTTTGCCTCTGAGCTGGCTGGGTCTTCAGCTGTCCAGACGGGCTGCTGAGGCAGCCTGCAGTTGCACAAGCAGCAGATTCCTATCTGCTTTTGTACAGATAATGCCCCTTTTACAGGGCAGCTAAGGCGAAAGATCTCTGCTGCACCCAGAGCAGGATGGCAGTGCTGAACTTTAGGGGTAACTGGGTCACTGTCACCTAGAATGATGTAATATAGAGACGTCTCAGAAGGTGTGAGGGCTCTGTGTTTAAATGGCAGGGGCGGGGGGGAGGGGTGACATGTTTTCCACAGAGCTGAGTTACATAGTTACATTCTCTTATCACAACCTCATTGCATAGCAATAGCCATTAAAATATCATCTTGGTTACACCGTTTAGGCTCTGTATAGCATATTTTATTTTTGTTTTAGTGTTTTTTTAAATTGTGGCAACTGAATCCCCCAGAAATGTCTCCGTCCTGCGTATCTTTGGAGAGCCTCGTGTGAGGGGTTCATGCCAGATAAGGGGCCACCTAAACCGGTCCGGTCTACTCTGTGTTCCCAGACAAGCTGCCGGGTCTCAGCGATGACCTGAAACCCAGCACCCTCATGAGGAAGAGCCCATCCTTAGAGTCCGTCATCAAGACCCCGGGTTCACTGGGCAGCCGCACAGCTTCCTTAAGCTACCCGAAGGCCAACAGCAAACTGAGGTACCCCCCGACCCCACTCACACATACAAACACTGTGCACATCAGTGTCTCTTTGCCACCTATTAGCCCTATTCCCAGGGAACTCGAAGACCAATGACCTTCACGCCTCCACGCCATCAGATATCAGTTTGTCAGATAAGATACTTTATTGATTCCCATTGGGTGGAAACTTGTCCAGCAACACAGAAATAAACACAACAAATGCTACTGTGTATAGAAATAAATTCAAGGTAAGTTAAAAGACAATAAATATTTAAAGGACAATCAGTAATAAAATAAGCAATAAATTTAAATAAGAGAACTGTGTAAAACAATGTACCGCAGTGCAAAATGGCTGTGCACACACACGCTTGCACATGTGTATCAGCGGTCGTCCTCTGTGTGCAGAGCCGTGTGCTGTGTGGTGCCGGGAATCCTGCACGTTTGCTTGCTGGAGCCCCAGAGAAATGTCCTCATTCCAACAGGACCTTAACTGTTAGCTGTTATCTCACAGCGTCTGTATCAGCAGCCACCTGGTGTGTGATTCTCAGACTCCTGTAACCACCTCGAGCACCCAGGCTGGAAATGCACTTTGGGCAGACAGAGCACCAAGACGAATGTATGAAAAATATCAAAAAGAAAAAGGGAAATAAAGAATGTTAAGAATGACTCTGTGCAGCCTTTGGTAAAATGCTCTAGGAACATCAGGTATGTAAGAGGAAAAATGCATATTGCAAAATGCCAGGATCTGTTTGGGGGGAGGGGGGGGCAGATAGGGGTCTGAGTGAGACTTGTCGGGAATCGCTGCCGTCTGCCCTACTTCTGCAACGGTGACAAAAGGGCCAATTGATTTCATTATTGAATTAATGGTGCCTAACTCTCAGGACCCCCAGTATTCTGACTGATTTAGGTATACTATAATCACAAATAAACTGGCAACCTTGGGGTTGTGTAAGGCACTATATAAATGTAAGTGGCGAATTTGGTTTGAAGGAAAGTAGTTTCTGCAAGACTTGCAGTCCGTCTGCCTACCAGATAGCGGCTAAGCACGAGTGTCAGCACAGATGCGGCCCGCGTTGTTTTGTAAGCCTGCAGCACCATAAATCAATGATGTTTTTCTCTCCCGTGACTCGTCTTCACAAACGAACCAAAAGGCCGGCTGCATGTGATCAGCGCTCGCCGGATCTGCGCCGAGCCACATGCCTCCTCACGTTCCCATGGCTGTGTGCCGCATCTGATCGCATTACATGCTGCTCGCATCAGAAATAGTGCTGGGGTGAGAGCCCCGGAAGAGCGCGAAATGTGGGAAAAGACGGGGGGGGGGATGCGCCGGCGGAGGATGCGGTGAGTAGCATTCCAGATGCCGTCTCCAGCTCACGCATTGTCCCGTCTGCAGTGTGGAAAGAAAAGACCCCTTGGCTGCTCTGGCCAGGCAGTATGGAGGATCTAAGAGGAACGCGCTTCTGAAGTGGTGCCAGAGGAAAACAGAGGGCTATCCGGTAAGAGGCAGGGCTCCCCACGGCCCTCTCACCACCATTGTCTGTGGGATTGTGACCCGGTGGACTGGATCCGGAGGGGAATGGGGGCAGGGTCCGGCCAAGCACAGAGACGAGAACGACGACAAGTGGAGCATAGGGTCATACACAAGCAGGGGCCCCCTCTGTGTGAGGATCTCGGGCCCGGAATGGGGGTCCCAGTACCTTGTATTACTGTCTGATTAGCACTCAATGCTGTAAGAGTGAACATTCTCAGGAATGACCAGCAAGTTCTGAGAGCTGTCCAACAACGTCACTGTTTCTAGTCAGACTTCAGTTTAAGGGACGTACGGAAGCGCCGTTGGTACTAGCGAGGCATTCCGATCCTTTCCAGGTTTTCAGATGTTATATCTCATGTTTATTTCATTAACTTGGTGCAATGACTGAAGATTACCCAGAATGCATCTCTCTGGATAATGCAGCCCCTTTCAGGTAGAGGAATTGGATGTAGGCAGTGACTGACAGTCAGAGCTGGCTGGTATAGTGACCTGATGCCAGGAGAGAAACTGGGATGTGGGTTTGATTTTCCTAAGAGAAAATAAGGTGAGTCTTGATATTCTGAGGGAAACATCCCCCCCCCCGGTGGGAATATTGACATTCCACGGTTCAGCAGGATGTCGGACAGCTCAGATCCCACTCATCAGTTCAGTAGACCCCCCCCCCCCCCCGGTGGATTGAGATCATTCCAGTGCTGTTAATTATACAGCTGTTTCATCATAATGAGACCTTTAGATAAACAGCATGATGCTCAAGCTGGAAGGGTGGATCAATGTGAAAAATACCCGCTCTGATATCGGAAAACGTCCCCCGTGCTCTCCGTTTGACCCTTGTCTCAGATGCATGGTGCCCCCTACGCCCACCGTCATATTGCACTGTATCTGACTGTACGTCACATTAACATCTCTCAGCGTCTGACATGCTTCACCATCAAAAGACCCATGTGACTGTATGCACACGTGTTCCTCGTGATGCAGCCGAGCGCTTTCCCTGGGGAAATTTTAGTTGTGGAGTGAAGGCATTTTCACAGGGGTTTAATGGAGCATGTGTTTGAAATGGAAATCGATCCTGTTTCCTCCCTATCTGTGTGCATTTGCCTTTTTTCATGGTAACAGGAATCAGCAAGACATGAGAAACACCATTCAGGCTACCCAGATCAGCCATGTTAGCTAATGATCTTCCCAGGGGCTACAGGCCTCTCCTCAAGATTACAAAATACTTCGCCATTCTCTCACCAGCCAAGACACGCGTGATTGCCCTGGTAACAGGGACGCTGCTTTTCCAGGGACGCCCCCCCACATCCACCTGTAAATTTGGTCGTGTGACAGAAACATAAATAAACTTCAGCCATCCTCCGCCTTCCATTTCTGCCGTCTGAACCGGCAGTTCCTGAAGAGTCAGAGTTGCCTACAGTACACAACAAACATCCTGTAGCTGACTTTCCCACGTATAATCACATGATAACTTGTTAAGAATTAAACAAGAGGGTCTTAATGCTCTTCCTCTGGATGGTTAAGGGTGTGATGTGATGGTGGGTTTTCAGGAAAAGCCCGTGTCGCTTTCATACTCGCATGACCCAGCCTGTCAGGAAATGAGCAAACGGCAGTCTTGGGTAATGCACTGGCCACCAGTCCAACTTCCAGCTTGATGCAATCAAAACACGACAAAACAGCAATGTGCCGATGGCACCTTTCCGATTTCCAGCCACCGTATCAGCCTCAGATCGGTTGCGTACCTCTGGCTTTCCGGCAGCATGGTGTCTGTGCTTCTCGCTGGCTTCGACGCACATGGTTCAGGCCGCCTCGTTTCTGCAAATAACCGAAAACAATGTTTTTTACGAGATCAAAAAGGTAAAAGAAAACAGAGCACAATGAATCTCAAAGGGGTAAATCAGCCGCCGCTGCTGCGGTGTGCACACTTCCTGCACAGCTTGTTTGGCCGTCTGGGTCTGGGAGAGAATCGCGCTGGTGGACAGGAGCGGGGAACCTGGCAGGGTGAGGAAGCCATGGAAGGGCAGGGCATGGGGCCTGTTCTACAGTTTGGGGGAGGGGGGGCAGGATGTCTGCCTCGAACCACAGCCCCCCCCCCATTCCTGCAAGACAGCCTTCCTTGTTTGAGACTGTAAATGGTGGGAAAGCTGTCCTTGGGAAAACAACAAGTGTCCCACTGCACTAGCATGGAGAACTTGGTCACAATCGGGGTGGGAGGGGGGCTCAGTCAGTCTTTCCAAGCGTTGAAATTCAGTGAAACCTCACTGAGGAAGTTAGCTACAGACAGTATACCTGCATCAGGTCACCGTGCTTCTCTCCCGGGTCAAAGTAACCATGAAGCCAGGGCTCCACTGGAGATGCACTACATGTGATTTTTTTATTCCACCAAGCTGGTATTGCAGACCATCATACTCTGTCAGCTTCTTGGTATAGCAGGAGATATGATTTCCTGTGAGGGTGAGAGAGAGAGAGAGAGAGAGAGAGAGGGAGGGAGGGAGTGAATGTCCCGACCTTTTCAGAATACAGATGTTGTCTTGGTCAGCTGGCTAATGTTTATTTGAAATGTAGATACTGTATATAAGCAAGATATAACACAAACAGAGCAGCGTAGCTGGGATACGGCAGCGTGATGCGGCAGTACGCAGGGCTGTCGCATGTGCGTGTGTGTTTACAGTAGATGGTGAGTGTGCACTCATGAAAACAGCCATGACCTCCTGCCCGGTTGTGATCTTCTGATGGGAAAATTCTTCAGCAGTTTGGGGGAGCCCCACAGAGCAGCGTCTGCTTGGAGGGGGGGGCGGTAGTTATGGGGGACGCACATGTGGCCGTGTGCGGCGGCAGCGCCTGCTTCCACTCCGAGGCATGTTTGAACACCCACTCTCGTTAAATGACTCACTCTGTACCCTCTGCATCAGCCGCCTCCCTCAAAAGAGGGGAAGAACGTGAGTGTTTGTGTCCGGCGTTGGGTTGCAGTGGAATACAAGTACTGGCGTTATGTATTCAGAATACAAAAGTTCAGGATTCAGCTCGAGGTATGTTTATAGAGCTGTTCAAGAATAGTTACTTTATGAAATTTGAATACTGAATACTTTTTCACTACTGTTTCTGACCAAACACCTTCCCTCCAGATCGTGTTACTCCCAATGCGTGCGTCTGTGAAAAGAGACGAAGCGGTATCCAGCGTGTCCGAGCTCGGTTCATTTGGCTCTTGGAGATATTTCCACCATTTCAGATTAAAAGACGTCAAAGGCAAAAACATTTATGTGAGGTGCCAGCTGTGCGTATCAGCTACCAAAGTCCTGTTTTATTTTCAATTAAACACAATCTATGTCTAAAACTCATATCGGCTCAGCATTTATGTAAAGGAATTTGTTGCTACAGTATTATCTTTTTCATATATTTAACTTACATTATTGATAAATTCTTTTAAAAAGTTGGTTGTCCCTTGTTTTTGATGAACAGTAAATCAGAGCTTCTGTTTTATGTGAAGTTTAAAGTGCATTTTCAGTTCAGAGTTTAATTTAAATTAGGGCTGTCAAAATTAACGGGTTAACGCGGATTAATCCATCATCATGATTAATCTGATTAAAATTTTTAACACAATTAACCCATCTGCAGCGCAGAATGACTCAAAATCCCTGAAATGTCTCTGTCAACCCATTTTGGTGCGTTCCATTTGCCCTGGGAACTTGTATTCCGAGTCGGAATTCCGAGTTTTGAAGCCGGAAGTACCGACATGTGCGCTCCCGTTTCTCGGAGATCCGAGAAATATCTCAGAGCAGCACAGAGGATCCCGAGTACAGAATCCAAGATGTCTGCGCCTTTTATCAACAGAAGGGAAAGTTGTAGTTTTATACTGTTTAAGCACTACTTCTCATTTGTGGCTCATTAAATCGGTCGCACACACTATACCGTCCAACTTATCTGTGGACGTGTTGCTATGGAGTTTTATACATAAAGCATCGCGCGTAATGTGTTATCAACTGATATTGCTAACAATATGGCAATTAACCGGGCTAGAATTGGATTTCATGATTAGTCGGATTATATATCGGATTTACGGTAGTTCGGGCTAATTGTAAGTGAACAAAGATAAAGACCATTTAAACTGAGGTACCTTAAATGCGACAAGTTGTCCGGCTAAGCAAAAAATCTTGCTTTTTGATATGGGTCCATGGTATTGCACATCTGTGGCAGATGGAATGCATCCGACTCATGTACAAGATGTTCAATACACATGTTAAGTGCATATATATTCCCTTTTTTCTCGAGTCTGTTTGCTCATGCAAAATGAATTGTGATTAATATAGATTAAAAATGAATGATATTTAATCGTGATTAATCTAAATTAATCCACAGCAACCCTGTGATTAATGTGATTAAAAATTTTAATCGTTTGACAGCACTAATTTAAATATGTTTACCGTTCTTATGAACTAGGTTATATATATCAATTTCTGAAAGTTTTTGAAAAGTATTCAAAAAGTATTCAGAGTAAGTAAGAATGTAAGAATACAAATCTGAATAAATTAAGGACTGTATATTCAGTAATGAAATATTTTTGTTGAGTATCCTGCCCAAGACTGTTGGCGTCATGCAGCCCGATGAGATTCATCACGGGGCCCCCGCGCTCTCTTTGGAGGCTGCAGCCCCTCACAACACCAGGCAGGGGTCGTGGGCCCCACACCAACTGTCTCTCTGCTGCAGCTTGGTGAAGTTCCTCTCTTCTTTTCGAGAGGCGGAGGGGATGATGTTGGCCTCCCACCCGCGGTACAGGAGATGCCGGATAATTGGGGGGGTGGACAGGAGAGGGTGGATTACATGCGGGTTTGTTGTTAATTAAGCTGCTGTAATTTCCAGCCCCCGTTCTGTTTCTGCGTCGTTTTACCGTCTTGACTATTTTTCCACACTAACCATTAGCCTAATAACACGTCCTCTACAGCTAAGGTCTGCTGCTGTCTCACTTCCAGCAGAAGTGGGGGGCAGCTAACAATGATAGTGTGTAACCTATGATGGACTGGCATCGCATCCAGGGTGTCCCCTGCCCTGTGCCCTATGATGTACTGGCATCCTATCCAGGGTGTCCCCTGCCCTGTGCCCTATGATGTACTGGCATCCTATCCAGGGTGTCCCCTGCCCCGAGCCATCTGTGGGGTGGGACAGGCTCAGGGTCTCCAACATAGTCTCCAACATTAATGAAACTGAGCTCTGCAGTGTTCCGTGTAAATGGCTCAATGGAGTATTTGTGGTCACTGTTTAATTTTGTTTTAATACGTGTTTATATAGCTTTGTCAGGGTATGCTGGATTTTCAAAACATTTTGGCCACCTCCAGACCTAGGACCTTTCAGGTATAAATAGTCGGTTAGGATGCAATTAATGTTTCTTGTGGTAAAGAAGTAAAGGGGCATTTAAACTTTAAAGACAGGACAGATATCAGTTATTGGAGAAATGTTGAAAACCTACTGATCCAATAGATTCATTAAAAACAGCAAAAGTAATGTGGAAAATGCCACGTCTCTCTCTCTCTCTCTCTCTCTCTCTCTCTGCTTTCTTTGAATGAGCAGTGTTGTCTTTGTGTGGAGAGACATTTCCTGCCGTTCGGTGCTGCCTTTGATTTCGGGAGCCTTGTTCGGCATCCCGGCTGTTGTTGTAATATTCACAGAGCTCCCGGGAGATGGGACCGTGCAGGATGCGGCTCCCCCCCCCCCCCCCCCCCCCCCCAGCCCCCCAGCTGAGCCGGGAAGCTCACAGCACATGCCTGAAGCCCATCAGGGCTGCCCTGACTCTGCAGGTGACAGGAGCGGGCGAGGCAGGCCAGGGTATCACAAAGAGAGCTTGTGACCAGTCTAAGTGGCACATCAGAGACTGTTCCTGCCAGGCGATTATGAATCTTACCATCTATCTCGGCATGGCCTCTTCGTGTCACGTTGTTAGTGCTGTGACTTGGCAGCTTGACTCTGCATGTGTGAAGTTTGTGTGGCCTTCCCATGTTACACTGTCAGCACTGTAACCTCACAGCATGGCCGTGCACCTCTGGAGTTGGCGTCTCTTCCCCGTGGCACGTGCCTTTCTTTTGGGTGAGCTCACACCCGTGGTCCGTGCAAGTGCCCTGTGACAGACTGCTGTCCCCTCCAGCTGCTTGCTGTCCTGCCCTTACTAGGGCAGGCACCCGGCTCACCGTGACCTCGTACCGGGCAGGTGAGTACGGGAGACGGGCACAAATCATCAGCTCACGCTGTAACAGTAATCATAGAATTTTAAAGAATTCAAGATTTTATAGTCTTTATACATGTTTATCATTAGTGCATGAAGACCTGCAGCATTTTGAAATGCCTGTGTGATCATTTATCCACATGTACTTTGAAGCAGCACTCTGGAAAACCTCAGTGCTCCCTGGTTAATAATATATGTGACAGACAGCTGTTGAAAGAGCGAATTCCCTGAGGAAACATCGTCCTGCAGTCGGCAGTAACTCTCTGCGTATTTCCATGAAGGGTCCGTGAAGAGATGCGTAGCATCTTGCCAGGTCAGAGATGCTTGCGGCTGTGGGGGGGGTGGTGGTGCTCTGACTGGCTGTGCAGCTGCCTTTCTGACTGGGACGTCGTGTCCCCCAGGCGGTGGCAGCAGTGATGTGGTCTCGCTCCAAAGCAGATGTCTGATGGCACATTGGAGGATGTCCATCCATCCATCCATCCATCCATCCATTCCGGGAGGGTTACATCAGGCCGGTTTCCCGACGCCGTTCCCAACATCCAAAGGGAGATTGGAAATACAGGAAATATCTGTTTGTTGGGGGGCGGGGTGGAGGGGACAAGAGCAGAATTGGGCTGTGGAAATCGGGGGCCGTGTTGTTCATGCTGTGATCCAGGATGAATCCTGACTGGAAGTGAGGGGAGGGGACTGACATGGCGTTTCGGCTGCATTGAGGACCTGTTAGCTCTGATCGATAGCAGACGGGTCGTTTTTCTGTTCCTCCTGTCCCATTACTCGTGTCACAAGAGGTGTAATGTGCAGCAGAAATGCGTCAGTGCCGTCACGCCTGTCTGCTGCCCTTTAACTCGCTCGTTTATTACGTGTGGAGGAGCCTCAGTGTTCACCTCCATCCTTCAGATCATTCATCACCCTCACTGCCCCCAACAGCATCATATAAACATCGATCCCAAGCCCTTGCGTATATAAGATATTATAGATAATTTCACATGTATGCTGATTGTCTGTTGTTTTATACATTATTATATATTATCATGTAGTATTATTTGATGTTCTGTATAATTGACTGATAATCGTAATGGTAAATGTGATCTCAGAGGATCTGCAGAGGCGAGGCAATGAGAGCACATGCTCTGGTTTAAATCTGAGTGTTTCTCCCATGTCCCAGAACATCGACGTGACCAACTTCAGCAGCAGCTGGAGTGACGGGCTGGCCTTCTGCGCGCTCCTGCACACCTACCTGCCAGCCCACATCCCGTACCAGGAGCTCATCAGCCAGGACAAGGTAGAGAGGGGCCAGTGTGCTCACCACGGACCTGGTGGTGGGGGGGGGGGGCATCCTGCACACACACCCTCTGCAGTGCACTTAGCCAGCTTTTCTGGGTCTTTTTGGGTATTGCTGTGGCCTTACGCCTCCAGGGTCCAACGTTCGAAACACGCAAAGTTAAGCTCTAGAGAGCATGTGGCCCCAAATACTGGCATTCCATCCAGGATGGAGCCCAGCCTTGTGCCCTTTGCTGCCTGGGATGTGCTCCAGGTGACCCTGACCAGGATACGTGGCTGCAAGATGGACTAATGAATATTAACCTATTGAATATCATTATTCATTGTTCATACTCACACAAAGAATCTGCTCAGCATAGTGTACAGTCATTCACTGCTCCTGAATGCTGCTCTATGGCTGGGACCATAAACAAGACCGGCATTAAGGGGATGCTGTTCTGGAAGCTCAGTGAGCCGTAGGAAGGGCTCGGCAACGGAAGGCGGCAGATTTATTCATCTCTCTGATAATGGAAACAAGTTCAGGTGTTTCGAGTGATCTCTTTCTGCAAATTGCATAGGTAATTTCTGCTTTAACGTGAAGAGCCTGCCCATGTAACTGATAAGTGCTAATTCAGACATTGGGCCTGATACATCATTTATGAGAAATGTGTAAGTAATAGGTCTGTAGTAGGTCCCTGATAGTGGGGTGATTTAATCACACTTCTTTGTGCCTTGACACAGTTGGCTGGCCACTACAAACTTATACTAATGTGTTGCAAACTTGGCACATCTTTGTTATACGAACTCGAACTTAATCCATTCAGAACTCGGGTTTGAATCCTAAAAAGTTCGAATTCTGATCAAATTTTCCCCATGAGAACCCCATGGTTCCCGGCCCCAAAAAATTATACCAAAATATGTTTTTTTTTTGGAATTTAAACACAAATTGAACAGGATAAAACAAGAAAAGCATATACTGTACTAAACACATCTAAGCACATTTATCAAAACAGTCATTTGTAAAGTAAGAAAATAAATGTATCCAAACAATGTGTAAAGTGTTTTTTTTTTTTTAAAAGGGGCCTGCCCCGAACCGCCCCCCCCTAACGGGGCCAACCCCCCCCCGTAAACCCGGGGGGAAACCCCGTGTGATCAGCTGTTTCTGGTTGTTGTCATTAGTCCAATGTATTTAGTCCGCGTTTCAGTTAGTTTCCTCAGTCCGGTCATTGTGTTGTCCTTCTGCATTTTGCCTGCCTTACCTGTAATTAAACCCCATATTCCCCGATACCCTGACGTCTGTTCCTTTGTCTCCGTTCCGTCCCTGCTGGGCATGACAATATTATTATAATTAAATGTATTAATGGCTTTTTATTAATGATATTAAAATAATTCATAAGAATTTTTTATTTTTAAAAGTATTTTATTATATAAAAATAATTACTGTTACTGTGTATCATTGTTTAAATGTATTTTACTGTCCAAATATATGTATTCAGCTAGTGTAAACATGCATGATGCTATCACAGCGAATGCAAGGCTGAGACAGAAGCGTTACCCTTTGTTTCTCCTGAAAGACGTGCCGCGTGACTCATTTCCCCGTGCATACAAGTTATCTCAGGTCGGGTTCAACTTCTGAGATTCAGATCGAGTTCTAGGTCATTTTTTTTCGAACTGGTTGGTTCGACTTTTAAGAAATTTGAGTTCTAATGAGTTTGAGTACTGAGGTACCACTGTATTTGGTAAATTATGGTAAATAAAGATACATTAATGCTGTTAGTGAAAGTGTTACACTGCTGCATGGTGAATAAACATGAGTCTCATACAACTCATGGCCTGACAGGACAGAGTGGCTTGGATATTTATTTTTGCTGAATCTTTGTTTAGTAACTTTGAGAGTACAGTTACTAGCAATTACGTTGTGTTACGTGGATTTGTGTGCTGGCTAGAATTCTGCACTGATGTGTTTTTCCTCCTGGGACAGTGAATCTATGGTCTCATGTTTATGTGTCACATCATAGGCTTGCATACACAGTAGCTGCTGTCTGCCACGCCTGCTGTTTCAGCCTCGGCCACCTTGCCCCAGATGCCGCGGTTATCACATCCCCCCAAAGAACACCATGCTCACCATGGAGTTTATTTGCCGAAGATCTGTTTGTTGCTCTTTGGCAGTCCGGGTGCCTCTCGGCATTATGAGCTGCCCAGATGTGTATAGCAGTTTCCACGCTGTACCGACAACTTGTTTGTTTTTCTACAGAGCAGGAATCTGACCCTGGCTTTCCAAGCGGCCGAGAGCGTCGGCATCAAGCCCTCCCTGGTGAGTCCCACAAGTCCCTTTGTGATTGGGTACCCGTGGGTCACCAAGCCAGAGCACTGCAGCTGCACACCTCCAGATAACTGACCCATTTTATGACTATAAACATGAATAAAGTGATTAATCATCTACTTACCACATTGGGACAGAAAGTATCCCCATGTTCACACCTAAGTAAAAATAGTGTACTTTCTATGAGAATGAGAATCTCCACACAGCGATACTCCGTGTACATATGAGAATGTGCTTCTTTCTACATTGATACTCCATGTACCCATGAGAATGTGCTTCTTTCCACATCAGTGGGGTTTCATGTTCAATTACACGTTTGATTTCACCATTTGCACTTCTCGATGTTCCTGATATTCTGTTTCATTTCGCAACAAACTAGCCTTCTGACTTATAGCCTTATAACCATAGAACATTTTGGAAAAACAGTAGCAAACGCATTTGTAGTATTTACTGTGCAGGGCACCATGACATTATTTACTCACGCAGCATTTATCTGAACTGTATGATCATTGTCCTGTGATGGTTATATGCAGAGTTACAACCATACAATCAGCTGAATGTTTGCTGGGTTGCCTCTCACTACTTCACCTTATTTTACCCTTAAAGGGAAGTTAATGAGGACTGCTAATGGCATTGCTAATTGCAGGGCATTAGAGCTTTAAAGTAGTCTGTGATGACCACACGTCTGCTTTTGATTTAGTGGTACAGCACCAGCCAGCCGTGATCTTATTTTGGGGTGTAAATGAGCTGCTCCTTAGCACTGTGAGACAATGACTGGGGTCTGAAGTCATACCCTAATAATGAGGTGGCTACATTTATCTCACCAGTTCGCAGGTGTAACTCGCTCATTCTGACTGCACATTCTGTGCGTGTCCCTGCAGTGTGAGTCATCTTTAATGTGTGATGTGACAGTCCCTGTGAATCACGCACTGATAGCACAGGGAGATGCTGGGCACACTCCACTCCACAGCTGTGCGGTACTGCTGCCTTTGCTTTGGTAAATGACAAAGATCACATGACGTATTGTAGTTGAACTACGTTTAAAGAAAGCGATGTTTGGGGTAAAATTTTAGGGGAAAAGACCTGAACATTTAAACAATAAAGAAATTAGTGCAGATACTTATCAGGCTCCATTTGGTGAGGGGGTAAGAGAGGTTGTCTAGTTTCGTATCGGCAAAATGGTGGCGAGTCACCCCAAGGAGGCAGGAGTCATGACACTTCGCTCGCTGGGGATTAATCTTCCTGTCAGATTTGGGTTTAACCCAAAAAAAAGAGTTCCAAATATAGCCTTCATCTTCAGTTTAGGTAATTAACCAGGAAATATATACAAGCCATTGATTTGCTTTGCAATTCAGTTTAAATCTTGACCAATACATCACACATACAGTATATTTTGTAAATATACTTTGAATGCATGTACCTGTAAACCCCTGTCTACTCAGTTTAGCTGAAAAACTCTTGCGGTTATGTATATTTATGTAGATCTGAATGGTTTTCAAGCAATACAATGTCAAAATCCATGCCTATGTCAGCTTCTTCAACGTGAAGCATTTTCCATAAGATGATGGCAAGTGTCCAGGAGCAACATACAAAAAAAAAGAAAAATGTGACAGATGGTATTTCACTAGTGGTGGGAGACATATAGTTCTGTTCATCTTAACAACAAAAATGCCCAAGGCAGGTTGAGAGCCTCATACCAAACGCATATTCACACTAGGGCCAGTCGGAAAGCAGAGGGATATGCACCTTGCAGGGCCCGGGGGCAGTCCGGACATCGGAGTCTGGAAGCTGGAATTCATCTGATGTCTGCCCTAGATTTCTTTGAATTTTACCTTATCTGTTAGCTGAGATAATCTAAAGCAAAGAATGACTGGCTCTGTATACTATATATAAGTGTGATGGGAAGACAAACATTGTTTAATCCTGAATAAATATGGTCATTCTCCCTTAAAATTATAAATGAACTATATGCAAACCCCTGATTTCACAAGTAGCTTGATCATTTATATTGCCAGTGCAATTAAAATGGCATCTGGGATAATTAAGTGCAATGTGGCTTAACTCTGTTCATAAAATCATGTAGAGCACCGTTGTTCTGGGTTGCACTATACCTTGGAGGTTTGAATCCTTGCTGTGTGTGTGCGTGTGTGTGTGTGTGTGTGTGTGTGTGTCAGTGTGCGTGTGTGTGTGCGTGCTTGCATGCAGTCCAAAGACATGCAGCTAACCTAAGTAGAGTGTCTAAATTGACTGTGAAAAATAAATGTATTGTTAAAATAAATACTATTTTGACGAACCAGTATATGACACTGGTGCTTTGCTGTGTATTTTGGTGTCTTCCTGTGCAGGACCTCAGTGAAATGTTACACACGGACCGGCCAGATTGGCAAAGTGTCATGCAGTACGTCTCTCAGATCTACAAGTACTTCGAGACCTGATGGGAGGATTCAGGGCACGAGCACGGCAAGCACTTTCACCCATTCCCACCGTAGCAGCCATCTCTGCCCCCGCCTTCCGAGCCACCTACCCAGCTCTCTGTCTGTCCGGCCGCCATCTGGGCTGGGCGGCAGCTGTTTGAGTTTAACCGTGACATTGTGAGAGGCGGCAGTCTGCTACCAAGGCACCCACATCACACCTGCCCTCAGCCGATTTTGCTAACTGTGTGCTTCCTCTAACTCCTAGCTCTGTTTACGGCTAATATTCGGAAACCGTTATTTATTTATACCCATCTCGTAATAAAATGGTAAGAACATGGAGTGGACATTTGTGGTTTGAGGAATTGAGGCCCCTTTCTGACTACAGACAGTGTTGCTGATAATAAAGGTTTTTGTCCAACCTCAAAGCTGTTCTCTATGTCTTAATTACGCACAGTGGCTTTGTGGAGTGCTTGTAAGTGACCACATATTGAGAGTTTGGAGTTTTTGCCATATTTGTTACTATGTTTTTTTTTATTGAACGATGAATTTCTTGCATTTTTTTCTATATGGATAAATGAGGGGGACAAAAAGAATACCAGTTGCAGGTACTTTCATACACGTGTGAGTCCTGAGTTAAGCAATTAAGACCCCCATTGGGTCCATTTGCCCACAGTGTTTAGAATACAATATCCCAGTAATAGTGAAGACAATTTGACTGCTTGATGTTTCATGAGGAATTTGGGTGTAAAGAGATGTTGACATCAAATCTGAGGGAAAGACATGACCAGCTGTAGAATGCTCTGAAGAAAGGGCATACAGTGTGACTGCAATGGCCATGCAGTGTTTTGAATTGCAAGGGAAAGCAGACCAGTAACACCCTGGTTCACTGCAAATGTACTTTGGTGAGCAGGTAGGTTCATCAAGTACAGACTGTCAGACTTCACAGAGAAGGCTGTTATAGGTCCAGTACATATACCCTCTGTCTCTATGTTATAGGTCCAGTGCACATACCCTCTGTCTCTATGTTATAGGTCCAGTGCACATACCCTCTATGTCTCTACCATTTACTTATACAAAAGCACTAAAAGATTCCACACCATATTTCACACGTGCCAAATACTGTTATGACTTGTTTAATCACCGAGTAATGCATACCCTGGGAGAGGATGTGGGGCTGTCATTGTGCACAGTCATACAGCAGAGAACGCCATACTGTGTACCCTGGATGTGGGGCTGTCATTGTGCACAGTCATACAGCAGAGAACGCCATACTGTGTACCCTGGATGTGGGGCTGTCATTGTGCACAGTCATACAGCAGAGAACGCCATACTGTGTACCCTGTGCTGCCTGCAATGTACCAGAAGAGCCAAAGTTAATTTCATGCCACCTACATTAAGCAAAATGTAATATACATCTTTCCTCAAGTTTCACTTTCGCCAACAGGTGTTCCTTTTACTTATCAATAAACCAGAAATGTTTTTATAACCTTTGGTGATCATTTTTCCTGTAGTGTGGAGTCCATTTTCTGCAACTGCTTGTCCTATTCAGCATTGTGGGGAGAGTCTATGAGCACAAGGCAGGGAACAACCCAGGATGGGGCACCAACCCATTGCAGGGCACCAGCACACCTATATGGACAATCTGGTAACTCCAATAAACTTCAGCATGTTTTTGGACTGTGGGGGGGGACCAGAATACCTACAGGAAACCCTGCGATGACACAGGGAGAACATGCAGACTCCACACACAGAACCCAGGTGGACACTTCAATGCAGGTCCGAGAGGAGAGGCAACAGAACTAATCACTTCACCCCCATGCCACCCCTGGAGACAACTTTATAAAGAAAGAAAAAGATGACATTAATAGTGTAATCCCGTATAAAATTAAAACCGTAAAAAGCAGACATGGTTCAGACATGACTCCCTCAAGCAGCTTAATAACCTGTTTCCTCATAACCAAGTAAACTGCCTTTCCAAATGTAACCCCATTATTGTCTTAATGGGTACCCCCCCCCCCCCATTCCCCACCCCCCTTCGGTGGAAAAATATATAAATAAAAAATCAAGTGGACACATCCCTCCTCTATGTCTATAAAACTTAGTCAAAATATCAGGGGAATCCTGGTTTAAGACTTGCTGAAAACCCCCCGCCTCAGGTGACTAAACAGCTCAGTTTCTCCATTGTCGGTGTGGGGCCAGTAGTCGCAGCCGGGCGGGGTTATGTTTGGTGCGCCATGTGCGAAGCGCGGAGGAGCGGTGAGCGTGTAGCCCGCGGCGGTGTATCGCGTGTGGTGTGTAACGTGCGCACGGCCGGGCTCGGAGGCGCTCGGACGTGCTGCAAGGAAGCTGCCGCTTGTTCGTTTCCCGGAGACGGTAAGCATGGTTAAGTGTATTGAAACCATTAGAAGTCTCTCTTGTGAGTACGAGTCAGTAGTCGTTACTTTTAGGTTACGTAAAAACACAAAAGTCATACTGTAATGTGTGTTTTCAGTACATGTTTCCATCTGTAATGAAGACACGCTTCTAAGAATTACTAAACCAAAACTGTTAAACTGTCGTCAAACAGTTGTTTAACTATTTCGCAGGTTTCAGTCAACTTCGCTTTCTCTATTCGACATATTTTGAGTAGTTTACATTTTAAGTTTCTTTTTCAAATGATTGCTGCCGAGTTGGATAAAAGTTGAAGCATTACTGGATCGTACCTTGCAAATCGACATGAATTGATTTTTTTCCCCATTGTTTTTGTTCATCTGGATGTGAAGCAGGACGCGTTAAGCGCTGATTATGAGAAAGCGCTTCTGTCCTCCATCATGATCGACATCTGGATGAACGCGTCCTACATTGTGATCGAGCTGCTGATCGCCGTACTGTCGGTGGCTGGCAACGTGCTGGTGTGCTGGGCCGTGGCCATCAACACCACTCTGAAAAACGCTACCAACTACTTTCTTGTGTCGCTGGCAGTGGCGGACATCCTGGTGGGCTGCCTCGCCATCCCCTTCGCCATCACCATCAGCATCGGGCTACATTCCAGCTTTTACGGGTGCCTCTTTCTGGCCTGCTTCGTCTTGGTGCTCACCCAGAGCTCAATCTTTAGTCTCCTGGCTGTCGCGATTGACAGGTACTTTGCGGTCAAAATTCCACTCAGGTGAGTCCGGATCCTTTCTCATATTAAACTCCTCTCCTTTCTAAACTTTGAAACTAAAGCGTTGCCTGTAGATCTTTTTATCACGAAACATAAAGACAGCATAAACTGTAGCGTTTCATTATGTAAATGACATGAGTGCGCTTTCCTTACAGTAAGTTACCTGACTGCGTTGCATTGCATTATATTGCATTGCGATTGCATTTTCTTCCATATCTGCACTTTGCAAAGAATAACTAAAGAAGGTCCATACAAACTACTATCAACGGACTGCTACTTTAAAGTGCATTGAACATTTAGTGGAATTTAAATGGTATATGCAAACCATTAGAATCACTATTTCCAAACATCTGGTAGTTCATGTAACATGTTGGTTTACCGATTCAGTTCATTTACTGACCTTTCCTATGTAATCCATTACAGCAAAACGAACAAGATTAGAAGATTAGACCACTACATTACACATTCGTTGTTTTTAAGACAATACAGTGACCTTTTGCAAACATTTTGGTCAGGAAACGATTTTAATAGTAATAAATATTGATAATGTTCCTTTTTCAGAGGTCAATTTAAAAATAATAAATCAATAATTATTAGCGATACTTTTAAATCCGGAAGTATAATTAGTCATATTTTTGTTCTGCATGACATTGTATAAAATAATTGAACCGCTGTGTACCGAACACTTGATCGCTGATTACTTTAATAAGATGTTCATTTAAATAGAACAGGCATTCCAGTCGTAACTGTATACTGCAGTGACATAATTACAAGCAGTATTCGTTTTTAGGAAGCTACTATATTTAAAGTGCATGGAAACTACATTTGACCAGTGGAATTGTGGCTTAAAAAATGTTTTCCTCGTGTCTTAAGGGAGAGCTGCTGTCTTGATCCCAGCGCTTTGGGTTTAATAACGCGGATATAAATAGCACAGACACTGCCCGAAACGTAATGTAGTTGTTAAATGCAATTCGTATTATGTTTAGCCGCAAAACAAAAAATACATTTAAGCAGAGGCGATTCTAGGGGCACTGGGGGGCCTAAGCAAAAAGACTCCACGAGGCCCTCCAACGCACCCCGCCCGGGATAGTAAAATGTATGAAATACACAAATTAAACAGGCTTGTTTTTGCATTGTACTCTGCAATTGGCCGAGCTCGGAGACCCGGCGACTGACTTCCTTGCTTGTCCTGTCCATAAACCTCTGCACTGAAGGCTCAAAAGTCATGACGAGCAGCTATGCCGGCCTGAGATAAAGATTTTAAGTTGTTAATCAGTGTGGAAAAAAATAGGAATTTCCTATTATGGAGTATGAAAACAGATTTTCCTCTTTTCCTCAGACTTTGCTCTTAAAATACATTTCGTTTGCAAACCATCGAAGAGCACTTCCAGACCTGAAACAAACTCAATTGTGGAAACCTATAAGAAAACTTAATTGATTTACCTTCAATTTTGTTTATATGTAAACTTTTAAAAAATGTGCTTTTCCACCTCCTAACAGGACAAAATCGACTCACGAAAGGGAATGCGCATATATTCTTGCTGTCATTTGTACGACTACGGCACAGTGGTGTTCTCGCCAGTTTGGAAAAGTTGCCTAAAATTGACTTCTGAAAGGGGCATCTTACGATCGGTGCCAGGGGTGTTTCTAGCTATTGAAAAGATCAGGGCCCAAGTCAAGTTTACCTGGGGCTTGACCTTATGTTCTTTGAAGGAAGATTGGCATCTGGTCTAAAATACTCGGACATATAGCCGCTAGTGATCGGACAAAAAGACGCCCATGATCGGAGCCGTCCTCCAATATAACTCGGAGAATACTGTATTTGGTATGTGCGTATTTACAGGATGCTCATTTCTTAACGAGCACAGAGTCTTAGTTTCTTCAGTATAATTTGGCTGAAATACTAAAATGCGCATTCTTACATATAAAAACAGTGGGGGTGATCATGCGTTGTCCGGACTTTTTATCCCTTCAGCTTTTTAGTTTAAACTTGTGCATTCAAATCAATGACTGTGTCCTTTGGCACATTGACTTTAGCGCCATTTGATCGATAATCCAGCGCCAGGCGTAATTTATTGATGCGCGCGAGGGCTAAAGGCTCTTCACTTTCATTATAAGACGATTACGGAGACTGCAGGGAAGCTTCGTCTAAACAAAGATAATAGAATCTAGGACCCTTTCCCCCTTTCTCTCTGATTCATCAGAGCTCCTGAAGGAAGTAACTTTGAATATGAAGAAATTTCCACATTTACATCTAAACTTATTTAGCTGACGGTTATGTCCAGAACGAGGTACATAGTACATCAAAAGCATACAACCGATATACAAATACCGGACATAAATTGTTAACTAGCATATTGGAAAAGATTTCCGCAAATACGATTGCGTTTTTTCCCAAGTGGTGTTTTCAAAAACCGATGCGGTACCTGTTCCACCACCATTAGGACGCTGCACGCCGCTTGGTCTCTCACTAAAAAGTCGGCGGTTCTTGTGTTTAGCGGCCGCTTTTTTCTGGCACTGATCTATGCATCAAATAATTCACAAATAAAGCACAAATAAAGCCCCCCCTTTCCTCTTGCACAAACAGTCCTTTGATTCTTTGTGAGCCAGTCAGCTGTAGTAACAATAATAAACTATAGCACGCTTTATACACGTAAAATGCTACCCTACAGTCCTTTCATGGCAAGAAGTGTCAACATCACAATTCAATAAAATGAATAAATTTCAGGGTATAAGATTAAAATTAGTTTAACATGTAATAAGATGTAAACTTATTCATGTAGATGAAACTGAAGGTAAAAATAAAATAGGCCTAATCGTACCGAAAGAGCAAATAAAATGCTAAAGTGAAGGATCAAACTTTTTCTTTTAAGGAGAGGAAATTAATTACACATCTTATGGCATAAATCAGCAAAAAAAATGTTCCACTGCTTTTCTTGAAGCTTAGGAAGGTTAGTAGATCAACACTTGAAAATCTTTCAACTTGATTTGCATTGGCGACGGAGGTGCTAAATATTAAGAGGTTTAAAGACCAATACATAGATTTTAAAATCAATTCTTATTAAAAAAAAAAAAAGCACAGCCAGTGTAATATGCTCCCTCCTTTTAGTGTGTGAGCACTCTCACTACAGTTTTGAACAAACTACATCCTGACTGTACCTTGGGTCCTGCAGTAAACAGAGTATTACAATAGTCCAGGCAAGAGCAGATGAAAGAAAAGGTCAACTTGGCAGCACGTACACGTGTGGCAGAGTCTAACTCATACTCATGTCCCTTAGCTTAGTGGTCTCATCAATGTCAGATTTAGCCATCATTTCTGAGTCAAGAATTACACTAAGATTAACAAATACTCATGACCTTTGGATAGAGGTGCCTCAGTATGCCAGTCATTTAGTCGCAATGAATTTTAGTCGAGCAGTAGTCAAACAGCACTCCAGGGTTCTTTCATTTGTCAATCATCACCCTGTAAGCATGCCACCAATATACTGTATATTATTTTAGATTCTTGATGGAATGAAGAATTGAATGGAATGTATGTAAGGTAGGGGCGGCACCGTGGCCTCTGGGACCAGGGTTCGAGTCTCCGGCATGGTTCCATGAGTGTGGAGTTTGCATGTTCTCCCCATGTCATTGTGGGGTTTCCTCTGGGTACTCCGGTTTCCCCCCATAGTCCGAGAACATGCTGAGGTTTATTGGAGTTATCAAATTGCCTGTAGGAGTGCATGTGTGAGTGAATGGTGTGTGAGTGTGCCCTGCGATGGGTTGGCACCCCATCTTGGGTTGTTCCCTGCCTTGTGCCTATAGGTTCCGGACCCCCAGTGACCATGAATAGGATAAGCAGTTACAGAAAATGAATGGATGCATGCATGTAGGCTTCATTCTCAAGGATAAGTAAATTCTTAATATTGTTGCACACATAAATACTGACTCATTAATCATGCTTCTGAGACAAATAATGGCTCATGAAGGATATATATAGAAACACATTGAAGAAAAATAAAAATTGACAGCTTTGAGGGTTTCTTCCTGACCATGTGACCAACTTTTTGCTATAGCAAAAGGTAGTAGAACTGAAAACCATGTGGTTCAGTGGGATAGGACTGTGATTGGAAGGTTGCTGGTTCAAATCCCAGGGTCAGCAGAATGTTCTCACTAGTAATGTGCGGTATAAACGATATAAGATATAAATTTGGCCAACGGGAGAGATTTTGATTATACCGCCCTACCGCAGAAATTTCCCCTCCTCGCCCGCAAAAATGACGTAATCAAGTCACGTCAAAGAATATTTGTTATTTATATGACTTATATAAGAAATATTTATATGATTCCTTATAAATATATAAGAGTCCTGCACGGGTCTGATTTTGACAAACCGCACCCGCCCGTACCCGTCATAAATAAATACCGACACCCGACCCGCACCCGAATGAAAATCAGTCAGATAGCCAAAATTAAAGACAATAGTTTATTGCCACAACAAACGACAAGGCATAGCCAAATGAAAACAGCTTAATAATAAGCAAAACAAACGGTAGTAGCCTACCTCCAAACTCAAATAATGTTTGATATTGCCATGACCACACATAGCCTTACCAGCTTACAATCAAATGTGTAAATAAAACTAATATTACAGTATATAAAGTATACATTAGGCTACCCTGCACATTATTAGGTTTTATAGGCTACCTGTCCATTTTCCTTTGATTACCCGATTGGAAATCCTACGCGAAGGCATAGACTAGTGTTTGGTGCGGTGCTTTATATTACTGTGTAAAAAAGGATATCGTCCACAGTTGATGGCCTCAGCTGACTCCTTCGCTCCCAGATGACATTTCCGGCGCATGAGAAATCTCGCTCACTTGCGGCGCTGGATGCCGGGGTGGCGAGAGTAGATCTCGCAATATGAGCAATATTGGGAAACAAACGCTCACGCTCTCTCCACCAAGACAAGACGTCAAAAGAGTCCAAAATTCTCCCACACTTGATTTTAGTGGCGTTATTGG